TGCAATGGACTCTTGTGTGTCAGGAAGTGAGGACGGTGCAGGGTAAGAAGGGGTTCAGACCTTTTGGTTATCGAGTGGCTATGAGTTGTGCTTGACTGGACGCCACCTAACAACAATAACAACAACAACAACAACAACAACAACAACAACAACAAATCACAAGGGGGATATTTTCTCCTGCAGAGCTGCTGGTGGATATGAACCTCTTAAGCCTTTAGATTGGCAGCTAAAGCTGATGAAGATTAAGAGAGAAAAAGAGAAGGTAGGAGAGGGCCTCTCTAAGTGGCCTAAAACAGTTGCTCATGCTTTTATACACTGAACAGCAGTAGCTGGACTAGGCCAATGAGAGAACCACAGAGCAGAAAACAATCTTACAAGTTAGTAGAGTACTAAAATACATACTTCAATGTTATTGAAGTTTGTTTAGATGTAATACATAGTTGGTTGGGGTGAAATTGAATCTAATTCTCTCCTGTCAAAATGGAATGTAAAGATCTTTCAAGAGCACTATGAAAGGATTTCAGAACTCCAAATTACTGCAAATCCTTGTACTGAACACAAAGAGAAAAAGAACAAACAAAGCATCGGGGGGAAAAATGTGTGTGTGGGATAGTGTGTGGGAGAAGTGAGCCCAAGAGATTTCTTCAGTAATGTTTGTTTATGACTGTTTCAAATTAAGGAACTAATTTTAGTTTGAGGAATAAATAAAGAAGTTCCTAGAAAAAGAGAAGACTATTGCTGAGAACAAAACGCCACCTGTAGTTAAGGAAAAAAATAAAAACATCTGCTCACATATAGACCAGGCTTGTTTGTTTGTAGTGTAAATGTGTTGTGAAAAGAATCTCTTCTTTTTCTTATTTACATTCTAATCAAGAGAAATAACTACCATGTTTTCTTCCTTACCTTGTCTTGATGGGGTCCTTGAGAAGATCATCTTTTCTTGAAGAGGTAAATGAGGTATCACCTAAGGTCCCCTTAATTATTTCAGTCACCATTCAGATACAACTCAAAGCCCAGATTTTGTGGACTTTACTTCATGGGTTGGTATATCTGATTTCCTCAGTTGAACAAAAATGTCTTGGCCCAACAGTATGTTTCAAGAGTGCAGTAGGAGGTCTTTATTAGGCTGTGTTCTCCAGAGATGCAATCAAATGTGTATGTGTGTATCTCTAGCTCTATATCCAAACGTGTGTCTATATCTATCTGTCTGGAGCTCTGACGCTATAGTCTATGGAGAGCTGTACTGCTAACTCAAAGGTCGTGCATCCCTGACAATTCAAATCCACTAGGAATTCTGAGGGAGAAAGATGCGTAATCGCCTCTCATGTGATTTACAGACTCAGAAACCCCAATGGTGGGGGTTGATATGAGTCAGAAGTGACTCCACTGCAGTCAGAGAATGAGTAAGAGAGGGAGAAATTGATCTCAAGGTAATGACTTGTTTGCTTGTAAGAGTATGGCTAGTCTAAATTCCAAGGATCAGACATCAGTCTAGAGGCTTCTCCTGACTCATGTAGCTGCAGGAGCTGATGAACCCAAGATTGACATGTCGCACAGAAAGCTGCTTGGTTAAGTCTGAAGAACCAGAGGTGAGATATTGACAAGCTATATCCATATATGTCTGATGAGGCCACACCACTAAGGAGATTACCAATGAACTAATTGGATTGGCCTTGTATAGCAGATGTCATCATAAAGTGAACACAATGTATCTGAGCTCTCAAAGGGAATGATAACATCTTATCGGCCAAGCCACAAAATCACATGCAGCCAAGTTGACAAACAAGTTTAAGGATCACAAGGTCCATGTGGAAACACACGGCAGGAGGAGGCTTGTTTAGTGTGAAGAGAGCCTCTAAAGCCAGAAGGCTGAGCATCACCCCCTACACATGTCATCATGGTCAAAGAGTTTGAACAGCCTGAACCAGATTCACAGTCATCCTCAGTAGGTCCACTCAGCTGTATACAAAAAGCAGCAGAAAGCCTGCCTGGAGCTCTGCAAGTGTTTTGTAAAGTCTCTGTGCCAGTATGAAGACTTTGTTGTTGTTTGTTGTTATGTGCCATCGAGTCATCTGTGACCCATAGCGACCCTGTGTACAACAGCCCTAAACCCTGTTCTACCCTGGGCTAATCTCATTGTCTCTGACACACCTACCCCCATTTCCCCAGTCACTGAATCAGTCCATCTCATCGAGGGTCTTCCTCTCCTGCACTCCCGCTCCACCCTTCCAAGCATGATGTCCCCTTCCAAGGACTGGTCCCACCTTGCAACATGTCCAAAGTATGTCAGATGAAGCTTCAGAATCCTTGCCTCCAAGCAGCAGCCTGGCTTCATCCTCTCCAGGATGAACCTGTTTGTTCTCCTAGCAGTCCGTGGTATATTCAATACTCTTCTCCAGCACCACAGCTCAAAGGCATCTACTGTCCTTCTATCATCCCTAGTCATTGTCCAGATCGCTGATGCAGAGCAAAAAAAATGGCAAAGACTGTGGCCTACATCAGGTGTACCTTAGTCTCGAGGATGACATCGTTGCTCTTCAGTACTTTGAAGAGGTCTCTGACACCAGACTTTCCCAATGCTATGCATCTTTTAATTTCCTGGATGCTGGTATCAAGATTGCTGATTGTAGAGCCAAGCAAACTGAAGCTGTCAACAATCTCAGTCTCTTAACTGTCTATCATGATGCTGCCAGTCGGCCCTGTGGTGAGAGTCTTTGTTTTCTTGATGTTGAACTTCAATCCATATTGAAAGCTGCACTCCTTGACCCTCTGCTTTAGGTCCTCCTCAGTTGCAGCAAGCAGGGTTGTGTCATCTACATAACGCAGATTGTTGATGAGTCTACCTCCAATCCTGATGCCACATTTCTCCTCATAGAGTCCAGTTTCTTGGATAATCTGCTCTGCATAAAGATTGAAAAGATATGAAGATAGGATACATTCTTGGTACACACCTTTCACAATTTTGAACCATGTAGTGTTTCCTTGCTCTGTTCTGATGACTGCCTCCTGGTCCAAGTATAAGTTTCTTATAAGCACAATCAAATGTTCTGGAATTCCCGTTCTTTTCAGAGTCAGCCACAGGTAAGCCCCTCTGTGCTTGCAGGAAGAAGGAACGAGGGTTTGCAGAAGTAGGGTTGTAGGAGGTGGCCCCTCACTAGCTTATGTCTAATGATGATTTTACCCAGGAATAATTCTTGTTTCAGCTTTTATTTTTTTAGCTGCCCAAAGTGAATAATGTTCTGGGGAAGTTATCATTTAATATTCAGTCTCATCAACTGAGTTATTAATAGAAAGTAGTTAATAGCAACCATTTCTAAGGTGATGAAAAATGCCTAGATAGAATCAACCAAAGAAACACTGATCGCTTATGGATTTTCTTAAAATAGTAATCTTGGTCCTACCTTTTAGAACGCTGACTGTGTTCTGGTTTTGAAAACGTCTTAGCCATTCTGGTTGCAGTTTACAGACATTTTTCAGATTCCTGAACATATGGGTCGATGCCAGGCAAAAGAAATGTTGATACTGCAGAGAGCCTGAGATTGATCAGCTCTCCCTGCTCCTGAAGTGATGTACAAAGATGATCATTATAACACCAACGAATTATCAAGTGCCTTCTATGAGCCAGGCATGGCATTTACCTCATCTGATGCTCACAAACCCCCCAAGTGGCAAGTAAATGAATCAAGCTCGTTTCAGAGAAATAGAAATTGAGATTCAGAGAGCTTATAGGCAAATTTCTCAAAGTTTGCCCTGTTATTAAGCAGTGGGTCTGAGATTCAAACTCTTGCTTTCCCAGTCCATGCTCTGTCCATATACTAGGACTGGGGCCAGGGCATGCGGGCTGTAGACAATCCCTCTGCCTTGGTTTAGCGCTCTCTGCTATCTCTCTCTTGAAGTAATCAATAAATTTTTAGATAAGTCGCTTTTTCCTTTTATATAACTTCTTCTTACTATACTATTACTTTCCAAAATCCTGGGTAAATACTACATAAAAGTTTTTAAAAGATGTTCACAAATTCATCACCAATCCACCTATCTCCCTCTGGTCTCCTCTCTCCTATTATTTGTGTTAGACTTCTAACCAACAGAATATGATGAAAGTAATGGTATCCTTGTGATTATTAGCCTATAGAAGGCAGTATAACATCTGGCTTGTTCTTAGACTGTTTGCTCTGGGAGAAGACAGCTGATATGAGGACACTCAGACAGCCTTTCAGGAGTCCCACTTGGTGAGGAGCTGAACCCTCCTACCCAGTGCCTTCTTTCCACATGATCAGTGTGTGAAGGACTGCCTTTAATTGAGGGTGGAATCGCTGCCTATAACACCTGGCATTTTATCCTAATTCAGTTCACAGACTGCCTAACACCTTTTTTCCGCATACGCCACCTCCTTTCTATTAAGACATCTGTTGTTCTGCTGTTTCCATTCATGCCACACCTGGGCCCCCTCACGTGGGGATGTACTTCAGCGTCCTCTCCCAGCATTTCTGACACCTGCCTGGGATGGAACTGGGCCACCCGGACATGCTTCCCTGCAGCTGTCATCTGGTTCTATACGGTCCGGATAAGCAGGTCTTAAGTTCTACTGGGTTGGCCCCATTTCATCTTCTGCTCTTCAGGATCCAGTTACACTAGTTAATAAGAAAGGCAACAGTGGTTCACATGTGATGACGATGGATCTACCTGGAAAATAGATTCCTATGTGATCACAGCATCCAAGCCCAGAGTCCCAAATGTGAATTTCAATTCACTTGCCCACATCTTTGAACTCTGATCCTGGAAATCAAGCAATCTCATGGTCAGGAAGTCCCTCTAGCTGTGTGATTCCATTACTGATGAACTACTTCAATAGTTGAAACCAGCCTGCAGCTCCTACCTTCTGCATGTTGGAGAAATCTCAGACACTAAAGCAAATTATTACTTCTCTCTCTAACATAGACAGAAAGACTTAGTCCTGCTTTACAGAGTCACAGATGAAGTGGAAATTGTCTGGAAGTAGGGAGTAATGCGCTCTAGCCTTATTGGAAAATTAGACTTCAGACTCTGCTTTTTACTCAATTATATATGGGAAATAATGGAGGGAGGGTTGCCTGATCATCACAACTCTCTAGATCCAATAATAAATCCATCGTTCTCAAGAAAATCTATGCACTGTAAATTGTCCTATTATTCTGAGAGCTGATGCAGCCATGCTGACTAAAGCTAATATGATTAAGTGACCATTTTTCAGCAGAAGGCTTGGGAAATTCATTCATTATTTGACAAGTTTTGTTTTGTTTTGTTTCTTTTTTTCAGTACAGTGGTCAGCCTCTGATTTAATTCCTCCTTTTTGAACTGAGTGCTTCAGATGATGAAGGTTGGGTTAATCAGGCCGCTAGAACAGGGGCCTCAGTAGAGGCTACCAACAGAGGCTGTCTTTGTTGCCTCTCATGTCAGGCATTTCCTATGTCTTCTAACCTCAATGCAGCAGTGTCAGAGCCATGAGCTCTGGTATGACCTAAGGCTACTGACTGGTAGACTCGCTCCCTTTCTCCATCTTTCAGAATAGCTCCATGATAGCAATGTCCATGATATTCATGACTATATTCCCAGCCCCACGTTAAGATTGTGACACATGGCTTTTTATTTGGGGCTTTAAAATTTACATACACACACACACACACACACACACACACACACATTTTTTGTGTACATGTATACATATATTTCTATATATATGGAGCTAAGGTGGCCTAGTGGATAAGGAATTGAGCTGCCAATCCAAAAGCTGCTTGTTTAAATCCACTATCTGCTCCATGGAAGAAAGATGAGGCAGTCTCCTTATGTGAGTTTTATACCTTTTGAAAATTTACTGCAAGTTCAGTTATGAGTCAATTTCAACTTTAAAACAATCATATTTGAGTCGATATATATATATATATGTGTGTGTGAGTATATAAGCACATATATATGTATGAATATATATGTACATACACACACATATATGTGTGTGTGT